GAATCTTTCCATACATCAGTATTCAAATCACCACCTATAGTTAGGCTATATGCATTGTTGCTCGCAAACGCGAGCAGTTAGTCGAAAAAACCAAGAAACCCTGTATGCTACCTTGTGGTGGTCGATAAATAACCCCAAACATTTGGGAGTCTTTCCTAACGCACAAAATCTCGTAGTCTTCCGTTGCAACAGTGTAGTCATCAATCAAATGAAATCCAGAAAAATTAGTTTGCAATGCCACTCCACCTCCTCTACTTTCTTATGGTTTAGGAAGAAGTGGTTGTACCCGGGCATCACAAGATGCTCAGTGTCATTATCGTACCATGTTTCGGTAAACATAAGTACATTGAACTCCATATTACAAGAATAGAGAAATTTAATTATGTCATCTTTTTTTGATCTGATTGATTTAGCGCTAATATGCAGAAGTTTAGGCAATTTACTGGTTTTTATCTCTGCTGTAATTTGCGCAACGTGCGCTGGGAGAATGGCACCGTTCGCCATTGTTCGGACGCAGCAGTGATGGCTAAAAACGTTACGGGATTTTACGCGGTGATATTGTCAAGGTCGCTTTCGCGCTGAACTAGCAGGACAGGTGATGTGTCAGTTCGACGAGCGTTAATAGATCCGTTTTTGAACCATGCGTATTCAAACCTACATTCACGCCTGCGCGCAGTCGTCATTCCCAAGAGTTTCTCGAGATGTGGGCAGAGGTGCTCAGTAATGTAAATTGGTGGGTCTTCCGGGAATTCTTCTGATGATGTCAGACCAAGATGAATATTTGTTAATCGTCTCTTTCGTGCTTTTTCTAGCACTTGGTCACGCTTGCTCCTCCTTGAAATTGTACGATGATGTTACTGTTCTTTTTGTCTCTGGTGTTTACTCTGTGACACACTTCTATATCAGCACTTGTGATAGCTTCACCAACAGCATCACCTAACTTCTTCAGGACATCTGGAATGCTTTCACTGGGACTTTGCAACACGCCCTTGATTTCCAAATTCCTGTTTCTTGAATATTGTTCGGCTTTGACCAGGTTTGCTTTGCATTCACCAAGATTCTTCTCAAGCAGGTTTACTCTTTGGTGAAGTTCCTCGTTATCTTTTAATAAAGCTTTGTTTTCATTTACAGCGGTTGAAACCAGACGGTTGGAATCCTCGAAGCTCTTACTGAGGAATTCCATGCTTTTCTTTGTTTCCTCCAGCTCCCCGTGAACTTTGCGTTCCTCTGTGCGCATGTTTCTTTCCATAGCTTCTTTAAACGATTGAAATTCTGTTTTGAAGTCTTCCTTGAAATCCTGAAGAAGTCTTACGTATTCTTTCGTCATGGTAACAGTGCAGTAGCGCTGATGCGGCACACTGTAGTACACGGCTCCAGTACACGTTACACTAGTATAAAGCACTGGTACAATAGTGGTGGCAGTGGTGGCAGCGGGACAGCATCAAAAACAACCGTAGAAGTAAAGAAAGTATGAAGTTCTAACCTGTAACACAGAGAGGATGCGATCAGGTACTGGCTCTAATGCCGCCACCACCACCGATCGATATAGGCTGTTAATCGTATTCGCTTCCGATACCCCGACTAATCGCAACGATGAATCCCTCGACCAGAAATAGTTGTTGTTCGGCTGAAGAAGTTCTTTGAGCGCTAACGGACTAAACACATTTTCATCTTATATGTTTGTTATATAATAGCGTCACCTTCGTGAACAATGTGTTGTGAATGACTACTATGGCCCTTCTCTGTGCTGTTTCTATTTTTTTAACGTTCGCGCGGGTATGAGGAAACACCCTGTACTTCCATATGCGAGGACTGACCTGATGAAAGTTTTGTATGCCAGGAGATTTGTTGACATGCTTGACATTTTAAGTGGTCAACGTCATAGTTGATTGGTGGTAACGCTCAGCCACACCGAACAATCCCACTGCTTCGCCCACTCGACCTTTTTCACTTCGTGAAAATGCCGTGATTTTTTCGCCTCCCTCTCGCACACTTGCTACTTTTCGAATCTATTCAGCCATTTGTAATGACCAGTGGTTATCTAGCCTACGCGCTACGTTATCTGCATTCGTTAATTTTTTATTCTTGATTTCAAATATGACGCAACGCATGTATGTTCTTTGACCCAGAATTTTTCCTGTATTTTAACGTTTAACTTATCATTTTTGCTTTCATGGATTGCTGCGGTGCCCTCAGTTTGAGTTTAACATTCTTTGTAAGCTTTTCTGCTGCGTAGGTAAGGTCAAGTAACGCGCGGCTCTCACATACCATTGTCTCGAAACATAGTGGCAAACTGCCCTTCATGATTTGAAAGTGCTTGCTGAATGGGCCCCACCCCATTCCTATTAAGGTTATTTCAAGCTGGTGGTTTGGCTACTTGTTTACATTTACCGTAGCCATATACGCGTTGTGTTAATACATTTATTGGGGCCAAACTCCTCTTAGTCCAACCTTGTCCTGCGTTAGGCGTAACCGACCGACCGACCGATCAGCGGGCGGGCAGGCACACGAATGCACAGATGAATGGGCGGATGAACACGTGGACGGAATCATGGATGGTAGTACAGATGGACACACGGGTGGACGTACGGACAGATAGGCAGATGGGCGGACAGACAGACGAACGGACTTTTCGCTCAACTCATTATGAATGACTGTGTGTATATCCTGTGGTTTCGTCTCTGCTTGTACAGAATTGTGGTGCTGTCGAGCGCAGGGCGGCGGCCACAGCGATCACAATAAATAGCCAGAAGGCCATCGGTCTTGTTCCGAACATTATTGTCGTGCTCTCGGAGACGGTCATTGAGGCACCTGCCTGTCGGCCCGATGTGACAGGCTTCACACGACAAAGCGACTCTGTAGACTACACGCCCCGCCCCCTCCCCCGCACACATTCCAGAAACTGATTACGACGCTTTCCTGGCATCCAACTTCGTGTCTCGTAAGCAGACTGCTCCTCTGAGACCGATGCTTACTTGTGTGAGGCCGAAAGAACCACAAGGAAACCAACGAGCTGGACTAACTTTTTCAACGTGTGTGGAAAAAGCTGATGTTTGAAGCACATGACCACGACTTAATTTTTCGCGTCTGCCCATGTTTTTGTGCACGTCATCATCTGCAGCACGTCGTGCGTGCCCCTGAGCTCTGTAGGGGCTTTCTGCCACAGCAATCAGCAACGTCTCAGGATAGCCAGCCTCTCCAAGACGAGCCACAGTTGGCTATACCTTGTTATGTCCGCGCAGGTTATCGGTGCCTGCTAAAGAAACCCACCTCCGCCCAAATTCCTCAAACTAAATTCCGTCCATGCTTTTTTGGTCAATGTTTGGTACGCGACAGCGGACCGACGCTGCAACGAAGCATTTCGTCGGGGTAAGTTTGGAAATGTGGCAGGTTTGGAATGAAAAAGTAAAGAGCAGTGTGGCACCTCACGTTACCGAAAAATTTAGCAGAATGAAGTATGTTACCCGTTACAATTTGGAAATCTTAATGAGTACGTTACTGAAAAACGCAACGCATTACGGGTAACGACCTTACTTGTGACGCGACACCGCCAACGCTGCTTCAAACAGTAGTGCATGAAACCTTTTGCATTTTGCTATGCACCCACCATGTGGCCTTTAGCATGTGTGCCTTTAGTAGTGGGCTCACTTCACATATTTTGGCACTGATTGGCACTGGACGCTTGTATCACGACTTATTACTGCAATATTTCTTGATGAATCGTTAAGCATGTATACAGGAGACGTGGGTTTGTGAAACATGAAACCTACTTCCACTGAATTTCCAAGCAGAGGAAGTTGTTTTCACTGTTTTCACAAGCAGATGCGTGGCAGAGTGGTAGAACATGCGCTTGCCACGAAAAGGACCCGGTTCGATCCCCGCCTGGACCAAACAACCCTGGTTCGCTCCCCAATCTGCTCCAGCATTTTTATCATTTATTTATTTTATTAGCATTTTCAATTTTCGCGTCACGCATAAGATGACGATTTTTCGTTAACAACCAACGACACCGACGGCGACACTGATGCCGACGCAGGAATTTCAGCAACACGCGAGCTCTTCTGCTATCACGTTAGAAAAGAAATAGAGAAAAAAAGGAGGAACGCTGCATTGTATATCATAATTCCTACTTTTTAAGCTTTTTGGATAACATAATTTTAGAACATTATGTTTTATTTCCTGGTTCTGGTAAAAAAAGTATACCACTGCCGAGCAAACGTTCATCGAAACCAGTAAGTCTAGTGAAGTGTTTCTTTTTACAAGAAATCGTAGGTTAGATTATAATGGTTAGCGAAGCATGCGCCGACAAACTTCAGATTTTTGCCACTTCCAACACCCTGCTGTGTACTCGATGATCGGGCTACACCACCTAGGGGGCCCGAATGGCAGGACGGGCCGAGCACGTAAGGTTTTTCTCGAGTTCGGGCCGGGTCCAGGTCTCGCTTTGACTTACCGGACTGTGTTTCAGCGGGTTAACAGAATCAAGTTCCAGAACCTCGCCGAGAATCGCTGTCGGTGCTCTGCTTGAATGTAGACTGCACTTCGAAAGTGGCTGCACGCGGAAGTGACGTACACGCTTAATGCTTCACATAGAATAACTATTTTCCTTAAACAAAGTGTTTTCAACTGATAAGGGCTAAAGATAACCACATATCTCGTTCAGCTGTTTTAAGAGGTTGCACGTGGTGGTTAAGAAAAGGGTTGGTGGCACACTTTTCAGATACCGTGTGGTTAAATGCGACTTGGTAGTGTGGCAGCTTAAGCAAGTTGGTATGACATGACGATAGGTATAGCGCGAGAAGAGAGCGACGACATAGAGGCAAGAAGGAGACGAAGGACACGAGCGCTATAACTGTCTCTTTGTCGTCGTTCTGTTCTTGCGCTATAACTATCGTCATGAAATGCTACTTTATTAAATACCTGATATGCATGGCATTAGTAGCTGCGTCACATCCCTCGTAGGAGTCTGCATAACTGTAGCGCTTTGTGCTTGCTTGCAGACGTCACTACTGATGGCAATCCTTGGCGAGCTGCGTTTGTCGGCTGGCAGTGCAAAAGCGCTCGGCCGCATCGCTTACGCTTCTCAAGAACCATGGATGTTCACAGGCAGCCTGCGAAACAATGTGGTCTTCGACAGCACCTACGACCGAGAACGCTACCGGAAAGTGATACACGCTGCCGCCATGGAAAGGGTATGCAGCATGGTCTTGATTTAGTGTTGTGGTGTCTTCGCAACAAACGTTTAGCAAAAAATGTTCGTACACAGCAATCAACGCTAGAGGACGCTGAAGGTTTGGTACCTAATAAACGATCCCACACCCACATTTCTGAGGGCATTATCTAGAAATCATTATGACTAGCTACTATGAGCTGTCTATATAGTGCGAACGTTTAGCGCTAAGAGGACCAGGAGAACGTTTGTAATCGCATAACTGTGAAACAAGTAATTTTCAATGACAAAGGCTGATTCCGTATTTTGTGCATTCTCATCATCCCTTGCGATAGCTTCAAGACTTCCTATATATGTGTGCAAGGAAGTTATACTCAACGTTAAGCATTACATATCACAAATTTTCACATCTATCACGCCTACTATTACGTCCAGAATTATCAGAAATATTAAAACACCACTGTTTGGCGACATTTGTATTTTCACGTGCTACAAAAGACCTTCAACGTTGAAGAACTGAGCCATCGGAAGGACGCATGAAAGACTGCCAAGATGGCTGTTCAAACAACAACTAGCGAGTGTGCGCGCTGGCCGAGATCATCTTCAATTACCGCGGGTTGCTGGCTCGCACTCGCCGTACCTAGTGGGCAAGTGGCATTATTCCACCTGTGAAACGAAAAATCACAGAATATCCACAGAGTGAATGATGATGAGTGGGGTGAAGCGTTGAAGGGTTTTATCGGCAAACCGTGAATCATCCGCTGGTCGCGTCCAATCGAATATCTGTCTGTCTGTCAGTCGGTCCATACATCCATCAGTCCCTCCATCAATTTGTTCATCTGTCTGTCTATCCGTCCATTCGTCCACCTGTCCATCTGTCTATCCGTCTGCCCGCATGTTCGTCTGTTCATTCGTCCGTCCGTCTATCTAGTGAATACTCCAAGCTCCACCATCTTGCAATTTTCATCATATATTGATCATATACAAGTACCGCCATCCAGCGAACGCTCCAAAGACTAAAACTAGAGGTGGCTACTACATACAGGAGACGGACAACTGACGCCTTTATGAGCTTCACCCCTAAAAAAATTCTGCCGATCTCACGTGCCAGGGAATCGACGTTATGCGAAGCATGCGGAGGGAAGCTGACCGTGTTGCAATTTTACATTTAGCAACATGTCAGGAAATGACGCTCAATATATATACAAATGTTGCACGCGCGGAAATATGTTGAAGAGTTTCAGGTGTTTATGTAACCAGTTGTTTGCACTTGCACAACAATGCCAACTAGAACGTGCGTTTTAGCAACGCCGGAAGATGATATGAAGCGCTGATGCTTGCGAAGATGCTGGCTCTAGGCACTGCTGCATAAATCAACTTCATTGTATGGCAACTAACCACAATTGACTTTAACCAGACGTGACGGCTGTACAAAAGGAGGGCATATGTAATGTATAGAAAATTGGGTAGGCAGCACTGCAACCACTATTGACGTTTCACAAAGATTAGCGTCTATTTGAAAAGTAGTTCCGAGACCTGCCGTAGCTCTGTGGTAAAATGCTTCATTGCCACGCAGAATGCTTGGGTTCAATGCAAGAGTGGACCCTGACATTTATTCTTTGCACTCATCGGATCGATGCTACGGATGTTGCGTATTTTTTAACGCTCCAGCGTTACAATTGTCAATGTATGTTCTCGTCATTTTTGGGCATATACTATGTGTCATTTACCTGTGGCACGTACCCACATACAAGCGGCACATACCCACCCGAGCATATGTGCCACTGTCTGGCGGTAAGTGTTTGACGACGTACGCGACAATATTTTGACAGTATTTATGTCTTGACCAGCACGTCCTACTCGTCCAACCATCTGACCCACCCATACTAATTTTGGTTCAGGCCAAGTTAAGGGGGTGACCACAATTGCACCCAAACGTAAGCGGTTGTATAGATAGATGAATAGATAGATAGATAGATAGATAGATAGATAGATAGATAGATAGATAGATAGATAGATAGATAGATAGATAGATAGATAGATAGATAGATATTTTCAAAGTCACCGAAGTTCCCTAAGAAATGCTTCGCATTTATACGGGCATCGTTCCAATTAATGCTCTGAAAGGGTACAGCAAAGTCGGGGCAGACCAGCAGAAAGTAGCCACATATGCAAAATAAGATTCAGATGCAGTCGCAGTACCGCTTAAAGTACAGCTTCAGTCGCACAACGTACACGATCTCCGAGGGGTGCCTTCCGCGTCGGGGCGAACAGACCTTATCCGGGTACAATCTCGTAGTTCACGTCACTAACGCGTCGCAACAATTTCTTGGCTGCAGAGCAGTGGCTGGGAGCTTTAAATGTGGAACATTTCTTATTCGCATAATGTCACGTGCTTCAACGTCGGCGGTAGCACCGTCCACACACCCCCTGCGCATGCTCGCGTTTTTTGTCTCGTGTTTCATGCTCGGCTCTCGCATCTCGTGCCGGCCCAGGAATACACCGGTAAAATCAACTTTACAAGATTTTTCTTTCAGTTTGCAAACTGCGCCACGGCAGGTGTCACCCTTCTATGCACCACCACGAGAGGGTGCGCTCATTGTTTTTCGACCGGTATGACGGGGCTCAGGGCGGTTAGGCGCACGCCACCGACCACGCCGGCAAAGCGAAACAGGAGGTGCTTCTTCGTAGCCTGTAAGCAAAGTGCAAGTGTGTTCCGTTGCAATCGCTCTCATTGTGTATCTCAGCAAGACCGACGACACTCGCGCAGTTTGTGCTCCCACTGCTGCTTACTTCGATATCATGGTAAGAATTGACGTTGCGTCTCACTTGCTGTCAGCTCTCTTGTGTTATCGTGTCATTTGTTACCTGCATATCTCTCATGCGCCGTGTGACGGTTTTTCGATGTTATAAAACATACCTCGCTGCTTTGTCACTGGTTGCTGAAGCGGCTACGACTCAACAAAATCTGTGACCGAAAAAAGGCATTGTTTCAAGCCACCCGTTGATGAGGTGGGTCTTTAACAGTGACAACGAGCAGTACCGAGATTGGGTAAGGAACTATCAAGATATTGCGCTGTGTGCGACCTCCACTTCCAAGAGGACGATATCTTGAAGAACTACGTGCACAATGTTCATGATGAAGTAGTTGTGATACCGCCTGGTGAAGTAGTTTTGAAACCACGTGAACAAAAGTGACTTCCAGTTTGTTTGTTGTAGCATTCAATAAATTGTGTTCAATAGAAATTTGCTGAACTCATTTTATTTCGCATTATATATCCTTACAAGGGACACGCATTCATTGAATTCGTTTCCTATTTTTTTTTAAAAAAACGTTCGGATTCTATGTTTGAGTTATCTGGAACGAACATGTTGTTCTAGGCGTTTGGTGTGTAGTGACACCACGGACACGAGCTGACGGGGGGGTGGGGTTCGACTCCCTCCCACGCTTAGCCGTGCGCGGCTTTGCCGTGTCCGGGGAAAAGGGGATCCTGGGGGTTGAGCCGACGTCGGGTGATTGGACCTTTAAGGCCCCCCGAAAGAGGCAACTCACGCCTTTGGCCCTGGCTTCACGTAGACGGCACCCCTGGGCTGACCCACCCAAGGGAAATTGGCAGTCGCCTTTTGTTATCTCTCTCCCCTACAATTTCGTCTTTATCTCTCACTTTTTGTCTGTCCTGTCCACTTATCTCTTCTGTTTACTTCCAATTTTCCTGGCGGCAAGGGTTAACCCTGTGCAAATACCCTACATTGGCCTAGGCGCATTGGGTTATGGCAGTGTTGTATGGCTGACGTCTGCAAGCTTTCAGCACCTCGAAACTTGCAGCGTGTCCTTGTTGGGCTCCGTGGTGGGTGGCCGCCAACGCTGCTGAACAAAAATAAGACTGACATGCATGGAGCGTTCCCCCTATTGTCTGATCGTATCGGCGCAAAGCGGGTACGCACCGATGACATAATTTTTTTCAACCAGCCAATAGAAACATTGCCCACTTCCACGTCATTCACTGTGAAAAAACTGGAAAGCAAGCCAGGACTGTATTTCTTTCCGTGGTTTCTTGGTGTCTTACTGAAACTCTCGGGGCTGGATAGAAAGTAACCAAAATGGCTAGCGGAGACCTTCTCCTCGATATTTGGGACAAAGAACCATTTGTAAAGCTAGACAGCCTCTTAACGTTTCGTGACGTACCGATCAATGTAACACCACACAGATCTACGAAAATAACTCGCGGAGTGGTATCTGACGCAGACTTACTCTACCTGAATAAAACTGAACTTTTGGAGGGGTGGAAGAGCCAAAATGTCACTAATGTACATATAATTATCATCAGAAGAGGTAATACGGAAACACCGACGAAAGACCTAATACTCACGTTTGCATACACTAAACTGCCGGAATCTATTCAAACAGGGTACACGAAGACATCTCTCAGGCCGTACATAACAAACCCTCATCGTTGATTCCAACGCCAGGCCATGGCTCTAAAAGCTGTCGTGGTCGCCAGACTTGTGCATGATGCGGAGTCCTAGGCCACGTGTCTGAGAACTGCGAACAACCGCCACACTGTGTAAACTATTAAGGAAACCATGACGCATATTCACGCTTCTGCACATACTGGGAAAAAACGAGATAATTACATTGAAGGTGAAGGAGAACATTTGATTTAAGGAAGCACGGCGAAGAGTCGCACCATTCTATGGACCTACATACGCTGATGCGGCGCGTCAGGGGGCACCGCCGCACCATCCCTCGCCACTCCTTCGGCCCGCACATAGCGAGCTTGCGGTTGTGGCACCTGCCACCAAGGCGACTGTAGTCCATGCTACACCGCCTACTCCTAAACAGAGACCAGAGACTCCAGAGTCTTCAGGTCTCAAGGCCTCACCTCACCAGGTGAGGCACGAAATTCGAACAGCTCGCACCTCCGGGCATCCAGTGCCTCTGAGGAGGCAATGAATACGTCGGTACCCTTGGTGCCGAAAGAGCGGCATGGCTCCTAGAAGTGCGCCAATAAAACAAAAAAA